TTTGGCAGGTTGTAGAAGTCGAGATGATAGTGGTCGTTTTTGTATAGTTGTTTTTTACGCCAGTTGTAGCGTATACTGTCAGTCCGCAAGTTGCTCGTAGAAAATAAAAAATAAACCCGTTCAAAATCTTTCCTGCATAGAAACTTCTGAATTGATAACCCCCCGCTGACGTGCCCTCAGTAAAGGTTGAACACCGACGAACTGCTTCCACCACCACCTCGTCCCTGGTCCCGCACCAAATTCTTCTCGTGGCGCTGCTTGTCCACCTTCTCCTTCTGTTCGCGAATGAAGTTGATCAGCAGGATCACCACCCAGGACGTCGCCATGGAAATACAAAAATCCTTGCCATCCTCATCGACAAACATCTGCTCCGGCACCAGCTTCCCGTTGTAGGACTCGATCACGGAATGAAAATACTTCACGTTCGTCACCGGCATGCCCTCGCACTCGTGGAATTCCTTGATGATCATCTCAGTGGTTGCCTGCAAGTTCTCCAACGGCAGGATCTGTCCGATTATCCAGAAGCCTTGGCACAGGGCGACCCACTCCTCTTTCAGGGTTTCGACAGCGGTGCTGCGCAACTCCAGGACTCCGATGCTAATCTCCTCCTGTATCTGTTCCGCGTCCTCCTTAAAAATCGTCGCGAGGGTATCCACAGTCGCCGGCCACTGAAATAAGTTGTCAAGCGTGTTCTGCTCCTCCCGGAAAACCTTTGTGTAGTGTTGCAGACCGCGGAAGGAGATGGGGTTTTGCTTCCCAAACATCTCCGCATACTTCGCCTCGAACATGCTATTCACCTGTGCCGGCAATAACTCCTCCGCGAAGTTTTCAATTTCTTCAGCCGACTTCTGGCAGTACAACTGGAATTGACTGGGCGGCGTTTTCTCTCCAATGTTGTACCGCTCCGGGTGTTTGCTGAGTTTCTCCATGTTGTTCTGATTGTTATCACCCTCATCGTCGGACACGTAACCCCTGTTGCGTCGTAGCGGATTGTTGTACTTGTTATCGGCGAAAGTAGCGCGCCGCATCTTCTCGTGGGTGTCATCACCTCCTTTCCCATTAGAGTTGCGGTCTCTCTTCCCCGATGCTGATCCGAAGAAGCCGGCCGAGGTGCCGAAGTCCGTGGAAGGAAAGAAGGAGAACTGTTGCCCTTTTCCTGTGGTCTGTGCCTCCTGCAATTTAATTTGTTTCTCCAAGATCTCATTTCTCAGCCGCATCTTCTCCAACTCGGTGTCTGTCGCCGCGTCACTGCTCCCTCCACCACTGCTCATCCGGGCGGACTTCTTCCAGTTGACCGGTCTTGCTGTTCCGCGCCAGTTCACCTGATTGAGCCACTCACTCTCCCCCGGATCACCGTGTTTGTTTTTGACCTCCTCGACCACCATCTGCAGCTGCTGCTTGAAGATCTCCATCGCCGCGTCGTCCCCACTTTTGTACAGCATGTCCATGAGCGAGGCGGCCTGTGCGATGTCGACGCAGTGCAGCCGGGGCACCGGGATCGGCACGTACCTGTTGATCAGGCCTGGTTTTTCTAGTTTGTCCGCTTTTTCAATCTGTTGGTAGCAATCGCGCATGGCAGGAAGGACGCCGAACTTGTACATCGTCGCGACCGAGACCGAGCGAGCGTCGAAGTCGAAAAAGACCATGCCGTGGCGATACGAGTCGTAGTCACAAGCATCCTTATCATCTACCGGCTGCGCGAAACCTCCCTTCGGTTGCTGTTGCTGTCCAAAACCACCAAGGCCGCCGCCAAATCCCTTCCCTCCGGTCAGCATAGCAAGCCCCAGACTTTGCATGGGGTTGGAAAACATGTTTGCACCGGTGGCCGGAGCCTGAGCAGACGCAACCTGGAAATCCGGCATCTTGTCGCTGGTGGTAATGGGGAAAGACGGCTAGTCGCAGAAGGTGTAATTAAAATACGCAAGAGAATGCTTCTAAAAGAGAGTGCAGCCAGTTACAGACGAAGTAGGTAAAATTATGTTAGACAGCATGTGTGTAAGGCACTAGGATATAACAAGAAGTAGAAGAACGGAGTAACAACAACACGCTCTAAGAAGACCACAAACAAAAAGGTAAGAAGCGAACAACTGCGGGCGACTTCACGGAAACTCACCCCGAATACATCGGGCAACTTACTTTCAAACGGGACCTTTTTCAATCTTGATCGGCAACGCGCAGATCAAGAGAAAGAAATATCCTGCAGATATAGCCGCGCGGAGCATTAAAAAATTACACATCTCTCTAGTTTTATTTTGCAAGTAATCATTTTTAGAGTGGGACCAGGCGAGTTGGAAAAGAAGCAGCAAAATTGGCAGAATTCCTGCTTTTTCCTTGCCTTGTAAAGCCTAAATGAACCGATATAGGTGGGGACAAGTCGTGTTATATGAGGTAGCAAAGATGCAGAAAAATGGAGCGCGTCGTCGGTGTTGAGAGAATAAAAATCACCTCGTCCCCCAACACCTCTTTACAGTCCTAAACCCGCCGACCTGAGTACACGCTTTTTTACCTAAACTGCCATACAAAAGCGTCAGAGTCACCGGATTAGCTCGGCGGAACAAGGACAGCAATACAACACAGGTATCAAAAGCAAAGCACCAGTGGAGCCACAGGGTATACTCAAGCAGGGTAAGAAACAGATTGGCTATCGTGTGTTTTTGTATCGTGCTCTCCGCCAACTTGGGATGCGTGTACTTGCAGCGTCTTTTACTTAGTCGTCCTGTGTCTGTTTTTTCTAATAAAAAGGTAAAAAAGTTTACAACATAACCCGGAAAGTCTCCTTATATGCCGTTTTTAACGAACGAAGATACTTCTACACCTTTTCTCACACTCAGTTTTCATTTTCCCCATTACCACCTCTCATGTATCTATTCTCGCCTGGTGTCAGTACTTCGAACATAGATTGAAAAACCGAAAAGAATGAAGATCTTGGATCTCCTCCTCGTGGTTTTTATTTACCACTGCTGCTTTTTTACCCTGTGGCTGCCTTGTTCGGACAGTGAAATGTTGCATCAGGAGCTTTCGTTTTTGTACGCAAGACGAAAGAGACGGAAAAACCAGATTTGTAATGCGGAACGCCAAAAGTTGACAAACAGAGACTATTTTTCCACATGAACATAAAAAAGAGCTTGACTTTTGTGCCCGTTTAGTCGTGTTTCACCAATCTGTCATGGTAAATAAAAGGCGAAATAGAGTGTGGCTTGCTGCTGTGGCGCGTGTGGGCAGCAATGCAGATTAAAAATCTGTGATGCTGAAAGAGGAAAAGTTTGTTCTTTTTCCGAGGCCTGATCAAGTGTGGTCACCGCTGTTGGTCTACGAGTACGACTACGATCGAAACAATAAAGAACATAGACACACACATAGCTAGGTGTCGAAGGCGTCTCCCACTGGGTGCATCACCCCCGCTCGCCTCTCGTCCTTTGTCAAAAGGTACGCAGAAACTCAAAGCCTCTTCAGCCCCGATAAACTCAAGCTCCATGGCCTATTGTTCACTCAAGAAGTTTCTTGTGGCAGCCATGTGACACAATACACAGAAACAACAACGAGGTCGCGCCGTGGCACAAACAGTCGCTGTACTGCTCGCGCCCCCCTACTCTTTGCTTTCATGCTCTCGAGTTTACATTACAATAAAAGGCAACGTCATCGGTAGATCTAGCAAGAATTCCTCGTATCAATTCCACCTTCTGCTTCAGATCTTGCAGCCGGCCCTCTCATGGTACCTACATCTTTGCTCACATGCGAAAGTGAAACCAAACACACACAAGAACAAGGCCGCTCAGCGTCGCGTTCTGTCCCCGGCAGTCACCGCATTAAAAAACGGCTTGGTAGTATTCAATGACGCTTTGACATACGAACCGGGTGTGGCGGTTGTGGGCATCAACTTTGCGGTCTGCCAGACAAAGGGGCCGGCGCCGGCGCCTGGGCGCGGCGCGCCAAAATAAACATCGCGGACAGACACCTGGATAAATTGGCGCGCATGATGTTCCAAGAGAGATGCGACAAAGACAGTGGCGCGCCCGCCACAGCGTGCTCCCTCGAGCTGGGCCAAAGGCAACACAAACACAGCGGACTCCAAGATATCCGCCCCGGCCGCGCTCCATGCGGGCGGGCATTCATGCCGGCACACAAACCGAGCGGCTGCGTCCAGGCGCTCAGGCTTCCCCTCGTCTCCGCCACGAGAGCGCCGCGCTTACAGGCCACCACGGGCAGCAGGCTGGAATCCGGACAGCTTCGTCATGCAGCAACTCCAGCGCAAACGCGCCCCGCCTCGAGTCCAGCGCTTTCGCCTTAAAAACTGCCGTCGCTGAGAAAGCAACGCCCCACCCCGTCGACACAAGTAGCAGGCCGGAATCCACCGGGGAGAACTTCACACCGTCGCAGACATCGGCGCGGCCCAGCGCGCGCCAGTTCGCATAGCGGCCGAAGCCTCATCCGCGACAGGCGCACCGCCCCGCCACGCGGACAAGTCCGCACGGTTCTGATTGGCAGCCGGCTGGACGTGGTTGCGCGGCGCACCATGTCGATCGTCGCCGTCATCGCCTTGCTGCTCAACATCTTCAGGAGCTAGTATCAACCCGCCCCCCGCGGGCACCGCGGGGGCCGGTATCGAAAGAAAAGCACCATTGTGATCAAGGATATTCTGGCTATCACCACCTGAAGGCTGCATGTGTTGAAGCTTTGCTCGAGCATACATGGTGTTACCCAGTAAACAAAGGGTTGAAAAGAGGAAGGGTCTAATTCGGCAACAAGTACTTCCGCTCCTTCGACATTTTTCCTCTGGACCACTCCCCGACATACAAATATGATAAACCACAATGTCAATGTCATGATATGTAATTCCGCACAATTCTGCTTTCTGCCTCAAATCTTGCAGCCGGCTCTCTCATGATACATTTTCGCTCGCATGCGAAACCAACAACACACGAGAAGTAAAAGACGGCTCAGTAAAAAGAAGCGTTCGAACATGACATCGCAATATGGTAGCCAGTCGTGCATCTTTTTCTCCCAATTCCTCTACGTCTGTGCTCTTCATAAGTAGGTGCGCGTCGGCACTGCGTCTTTTTCGGTCCAATAAACAAGAAATGCAACTGCCTGTGAGCATTGCCTCGTCGCGCAGAAGACATGATGACTCATGCTCGTCTTTTGCGTTTCTATCGCGCATCAAATAAGCGAAGCGCTGTTTTCGTGCAGGAGAAGGCGAAAAAAAAGCTATAAAGCTCTTTCTGTTCGCATATTATCTGCTGAAGTTGTAGTTGTTTCAATCTGAACATCGACCGCCGTTATTCCACCGCATTAAAAAACGGGTTGGTAGTATTCAGCGACGCTTTGAGCGACGAACCGGGTGTGGCGGTTGTGGGCATCAACTTTGCAGTCCCCCTTCCAGCCCCGCTTAACCCTCCCAAGCTGGCCGGCTGCCGTACAGGAGTTTGCAATTGCGAAGGAAGGGCTGGCGGCCGCAATTTTTGCTTCCCCGGCAGAGAGGTGCTGCTCCCAGACCGTGCGCCTGCTCCGCCCGGCAGTTCTGAAGCTAGCAGCTTCACTTGCTTTTGTAGTGACGAAACCTAGTGTGTGATTTTCGTTTGTAAAACAAGAGGACACAGGATGAACTACAATTATTCAGAAACGTACTATCGCGATCATCGCTGCTCCTGCGAGCTTCATATGCTGATCATGACACTTGATCGTCGGGAAACATCTTCGCTAGCACCACACGACTAGATTTTACTTTTACCTGGTTCGTCAGCATCTGAATGTGCTCCTTCTGTTGTGCTTCTGTGTCCGCGCGCTGAGCCAAGGCATGATCCAGGTGACCCTTCACATCGGCGGCAAGGGCGTCTATTCGGGCGGCGAAACAGGACTCCACAACTTCCAAGCCGACGTCCATACGCTTCTTCGTCTCTGGCCGGTCTCGGAAGTACCGCTCGAGAACCTTGCAAAAGGGAGATTTGTTTTCTTTCAACATGCATCTTTTGTTTTTAGGGTGGCACACTCTCATTTTCATGTCAATGGCGAGATTCTGCTCCACTTCATGGGAAAAAAATTCAATCTACTGTATTCTGTAGTACGTGATGCGCCTCCACGTCGGATAACGATAATAGCCGCTGGTAGCAAATCACCATGGCTCGCGTTGGATTGGAACCTTTGTTTGATATTTGTATTTCGATTAAGTATGTTAATACTATATTGTCTTTATGTTTCCTTCTTTTCTGTTTCACACACGAGCACGCCACGCTCCGGATTATCACAGCAAAGACGTTCTAGTACCCAATGCTGTATCCCGAAATGGTGATCCCGGATTTTGGCTCGGCGTTTTTGGTCTCCTCTCAGGACTGAAATCGCCCCGAAACACTGGGTGCATGAAGGGCGTCGTTGCTTGTTGCGCCCCGGCCGGCGGCTGCAAATGCGGCGCTGCAGAAGACATGGCGGCAGACGGCAGACCAGCACCAAAGTTTTGGTTATGCAGCGGAGGTTGGTTGGGCACCATATAAAACCCTGTTTCCCGCGAAGACGCTGCGGCTCGCTGTGCGGCTGAAGCGCGTGTTGCTGTGCCACCTGGTGGAAGATCTTTGTTTCCGCCGGTGAAACTTCCCGCATTGTTTCCGTTTACCGAATCAAAAACCTGGGCCTGAAAAATTCCGCTGGAGGGGGGAGGCTGAAAATTTTGGAAACTGGCGGCTGCGCCCGACGGCAGCCTCTGTCCGCGGGCGTCGAGGTGGAATTGCGATTGCGATAGTCCCTGCTGCTGGTCCAAAAATATTTGCGCGTACTGTGGCTGAAAGTCCTGCGACGTGTACACGCTCGCCGCATCTCCTGGTGGTATCGCATCTCCGCGACTCGCCATGTGCCGCATTAGCGGAGGCCCGCGCGGGTTTATTACCGCATGTTGTTGCCCTTCAGTTACGCCGCCGGGCGGCTGGACCTGCCCAGAGGACGACATGTCCGCGGCGTGTTGTGCTGGCGCACCCGCAGCGAAATACGCCGGCTGCGGGGGAGCTTGGTCAGCAGCCGAAACACCGCTTGGCTTCCTGCCACGGAATGACATTCGCTGTGTACTGCTGCTCGAACTACTATCCTGCTCTTGTCGATGCGAAGAGCCAGCTTCATCCGGCATCTGTGCGTGCGCCCCTCCGGACGGCGGCATGGGAATCGCAGCGCCGGGAACACCTGCGCCAGCGGTCGCATTGAAGGAACCTCCTTGGGGCAGGGGTATCGCCGTTGAGGCCGCACTGGCAGTGGCGGCCATCGGAGCTGCACTGGCCGACGGTGGCATCGGAATCGCAGATGAGGAGCTTGCGGCGGCAGGCCCGGAATCAGAAGGTGCCGACGCCGAGGCCGTCGTGGTACCGGCAGCGGTGTTCGCAGGAGCTGTTGGCGGGGGTGGCATCGGAATTGGCGTGGACGATATCACGTCTTTCTCCACATCATCCTCATTGTTGTCTCCGCCGGACCCTCCAGACTTCGATCTTCGTGCCGCGCGCTGTCTCCGAGACGCCGACGCGGACACCTCCTGCTCGCCATCGCTTGTTTCCCAGAGCAAACCGCTCGCGCCGCCCCAGAAGGAACCTCCAGACGCTTGTTCAGGGCTACCTGACCCTGACATCCTATTTCCGAAATCTTAGTAGCTACTTACCCGAGCTTCGAACCCTTTCAAAAGGTGGCGGTTCTTCAGGCTATCTATCCCTTATAGTTCTCTAGATGCTGACGTTTCTTCAATCGCAATCAAGGCCTACCGGAGATTCATTGTGCCTCGATTCTGCAAGCAGCTTTGTAAAATAGAACTTCTCTCTGCTCTCAGTACTTACGCTTGGGTAATCACGCGACGGAGGATGTAAGTAGGTGATCTCGATATGTAGTCCCATTGAACACCTACCGGAATCGCAAACTGTTGTCGCATTTCTAGCAACAAAACTGAACGCCGAAGAAATATTGAACCAGAAGTCGCCATGAGCATCGTGCTGCGCGGGTCGCACAAGTACGCTACTTACGCTCGTCGGCGCACACATCAACGCAGCACTGTCGCATAGCTGATCCGAAACTGTTCATCGTGGTCAACATTAGTGCAGAAAAAAATCAATTGCAGCCCCACCTTGGTCGTGCGGGTCGCGCCAAATGTTCCCGGACAAACAGTCCCTTTCTGTTGCGACCGCACACGCGCAGGTTGGTCACCGTATCGCCAACCTGGTAGGCTTCGAATCCCTTGTGCGCTATTGCGTTGAGGCCGTTGCAGGAAAAATGCGTCTCCCCCTCGGGGTATGCATTGCAAATGCGTCATGGTCTGGAAGGATTCTGATTTGCATTGCACACGCGCTCACGGCATGACAAATCACGCGGAGGGTTTTTCTTTTTTTTATGCCTAGTGTGCATGAGAAACAAATACCCTGAAAACCAAAATCGGACATCCTAACCTTTGCTTGACTGCGCAAGACAGATTTTTGCCTGGAGCAGAATCCCCATCACAAGTAGTTGCAACAAACCTTCCAGAGCCAGACATATTTGCAATGCATACAGGTGTCCGGTTTGTAACGAATCCGTCGACATAAACGGTGCGCTCGTCTTCATCAGGTGTTGTCTCATCTAGATTTTGACTCGCCTCGTCAGACGCTTGACTGTGATTCTGCAACAGTCCATCGCTCTCCCGTGAGGCCCTTGAGAGGTGAGGATGTACCGCCGTCGCGACTGTCTGTTGACCTTCCGCGCGCGCGGAAGAGCAGCACCTCTGCCCGTGCTTATCTACGAGGTCTGCCGGCCTTGACGACGCGAACAGCTCCCGATTGAGCTCTGCGTATGGCAAGTAACGCTGCTGGGTCCGCCGAGCGACGAATTCTCCGGTCGGGTCCCGAAGCATCCGTCGTAAAGCTGCAGCAAGGTGGGGGAGCACCAAACTTCCCTCTGCCGCGTAGTGAAGAGCGTCTTGCGAGAGCGGTCTGTGCTCCCATACGGAGTTATACAGGTTTTTGTTTTTGGTGTGTAATGTTGGCTTGTCCTGCTGTGCCTGTGGTCGTCCATAGCTTTCTTCGTCATCATCATTCACCCCGTCGCCCTGCTCATCGTGTAGCTGGTTCTCTGAAGTAGATGCGGTGAATGCTGCAGCGTAGCTCGATGAGAAGCTACCATGCAACCGCTGCCCCGCCCGTTCCACCGCGTCCCAGCGGCGCTCTTTGTACAGGCCTGGGAGAAAGATTCTTAACAGCTCCGGCAGAGACGCCAGGTATTTCGTACTGCCTTTGCGCTCCAAGTGGGCCAGGTGCGCAACTTGGGTGTCGAAGGCGTTTTGCAGTTTGATATCGTAAAGTGCCCGCAAAAACGCGGCGTCCTCGCGACAATCGTGGAAAATTTTGCGGACGTCTGTGCGCTCTTGGAAAAAAGTTCGCAATGTTGCTCGAGTTGCATCTTCCTCCAGTAAAGGGCTTGAGAAAGCGCTGCTCTCCGGCGACGACAGAGTTTGCGTTGTCCCTCGTGCCGCTTTTGTCTTTAAGGCTCTTGAAGCACCACTGTTCCTGTTGCACTCAAGTAAATCCACGAGAGCGAGTTGCTGCAGCGCCGGCGAGTAAATTTGAAGTAAACTGGGTTTCCCAAAGCGCCCCAAATGTCCCTCAAGATCCACTCCAACCTCGGTCCGCGACGGAATTTCGCTGACGAAGTTCTGAAGCTGCTCTGGCAGGGTCAGGTACAGAAGGGTGGTTCCCCGTGGTTTACTTCTTGCTGCTCGAGCAGCGGCAACTGCTGCACCGGTCCAGAGCGACGCAGCGCGCGATGACATATGCGGCTTGACGTCGGCTGATATTTGTTGATGGTGACCGGGGGTGGTCACGTTCAGTCGTTCTTCATTCTTCTATTTCATCCTGCACAGGGACACGGAGTGGGTAGATGTACACACTTGAAGAAATCGACGCAATGAGGAATGAATATATATCATCACAACTAAGGCAGATCTCCAGCTGCGCAAATTTTTGCGCAGAAGCACGCAGACACATGTTCCTTCTGCATTGCGCGCGAAAGCGAGACCGAAATCTGTTGCGCTTAACTATAAATATGTGCGCCAAACCGCATCCTCGTCTTGCTCGCGCGACGAAAAACGCGTGTCTTGCGCGCGACATCATCTGCACCTGCCAGCCAGTTTATGCGCACATCGACATCTTCACTATCACGCTTCATCTATCACTATCATCGTCATCTGTATCGGAACACCACAAGGAGCTGGCACACGAGTCCGGATAAATGTGACCAAGGCCGCTGAGCTCCGTAGCAGCACAGCCGGTATTAATGTAGTGCGTGTTGTACCTCAACGTATGAATAAGTACAAGTCGCTGTCGCTCGTTAGATTTGAAAAATAGAAGAATTTTCTGGAGTCGAGTATTATTTTCGTTTTTCTGTACACAGCAGCTATATCTTGCCCATCCGGACAAGCTGGTCAAACCCCGTAAAGACCAGTCCTCCAGCTAGACTGTATCGGCCCATCTGCGCCCAGCTTCCCGCGGTGCTCTTGTACAGCGCGCCGGAGAAAAGTCCGGCCACCGGGGCGTTAAACTGGTCGTCTTCGCCTCGTATCCACCCGAGCAACTGATTGCTCACGCAGTAGTACAAAGTCATGATGGCCCCTTGGTTCGCCACCAGGGCACCTGGAAATCATTTGTGTCGTATGGTTGGAGGTTAAATGGAAAAAGAAAACGTTTTGCGCGACTACGAGATACTTACGGGTCAGAATATACCAAACTGATCTTATTCAAAATTTGTTGTCAAAAACGCATCAAGGAGTACGTACCTCTGCTACTGACGCCGTTCATCACGCTGTTGAGAAAGAGTTTTGGCGTTGCTCCTCCTTTTCTCATGCCCAACAAAGAGCCGTAGAAACCGCCCGTAAGCATTCCGATACCGTAGCACAGGCCTACACTATACGTGATTTTCTCGCCCCATTGCCTTCCATAGCCTTCGAGATACCTGATAAATATTCAAAATTTGCTTGACCATCATGTAGAAGCGATTGGGGTCGATGTAATAGTGACTTCTACCGCATCCGTAAGGGTCACATGCTCTTGTCAACGCCAAAGAGCTATCAGGTAAGTACAGGTCGTCCTTCTTGTTTTGCGGTCGCGCTACCGGTGCTCGCTTCTCCAATAAAATGCTCGGTGATCCTGCCCCACCGGTGGAGAGGTAGTCATCATCTGTGGCGGCGCCGATCATGTTTATTGTCGTGCCGGACGAAAATACGAGTGCGAGTGGAATCCTTCTTGTGCACCAAAATCACAAGAGCCGCTGCAGCGCAAGATGCCACAGCTCAGTCTGCGACAACAGTCTTCACGATCTTCGTGAGGACAAAGACATTGTTATATTGATTCGGTATGGGTGCTAATAGTCCTGGGAAGATATTTTTTTGCCTAGTAGGTTTTAAGAGTGGAATCCGGACCTACGAGCGCAAGCGCATGTACAAAACGAAACTTACCAAAATTGTTCGTCCTCTATAACTAAGTTTGCTAGGCCGTAAAGCATCTGTTTCAACCTCAAGCAACATGAGAAAATGAGAGTGACTGAAAAAACGGCAGCTTCACTAAATCTAAAGTCAAAGCATAAGCAACCTGCCATGATGTCACATAAGAGAAACAATGGACGACGCTTTGTTATTCAGCCGAAGGCACATCATCGAAATGATGAGTAACTATAGAGTTTGATGAAAATCATCTGTTTCTGTGCCACAAAACGTGACAATTACAACTCCTACCGTACTTAGACTTACACGGCACCGCAAATAAATATTCATCTCGGATTAGACATGATCGTCGATTGGGATCATCTAGATTGATCTTCTTCTTCATGTCGTCACAACCGTCGCATGTGTTAGCCCCGCATCTTCGGCTTCTTTCCCAGAAGTCTATTACCTAGTACTTTACACTACAGGTGGTATTAGTGACGCAAATCGCATGCAACATGCCGCAACTCCATCTTGATCGGGATCTCACTTCGCTGCAACCGCAAATAAAGGAAAAATAGAAAGGCGAAAGCGGCCCTTACTGAAAAGAGAGCTATATCTTCATCACACACTAACACTATGTATGAGCAATAAAGGAAAAAATAAAAAATTGAAGTATATCTGAAGTCCTAATAATCATGCACATTTCTGTAAAAAAAAATCTGATACATAGGAATCTGACGACCGTACGTAACTGCGTCATGTACAACTACCTACGTGCCCGGCGATCGGTAATACTAGGCACAAACGCGAAGTAGAAAACAGAAAATCAACCATCCATGACCCATCAAATACCGGAGAGAGGCCGAGAAGAAGAGACTGCCACCACTGCCTGCGCAACTAGTGAAAAAAAGTGATCCATTTGCGTAGCTGCGGGAGCAAAGGCTCCACTTTCATTGGTACGCCTAGACACTTTATTTAAGACGCGGACAAAGACAAAACACGCGAGCTTGTGCCCCCACTTCCGTGCTGAGAGGTTGCATCTCATGAGGCTGAGGACACTCGTCGAACTCTCCTCAAATTGATTGATTCTCACCTGAGCAAGTGGCGCCATTTTGTTTCCGAACCACAAACACACGCCTAGGGAGAGGAGCTGCCCTCCCTATCCAAATTATAGGCGCGGGCGGCAATGAAATTATCGGCAAGCGGCAACAGGGCCAACCAGCCAAAAGGTGGGCATGCAGACTCGATCGCCGGCTGCGCCATGTCGGGTGCGCCGCTTCCTCGCGCACAGGGGCCTGCCCGACTGCGAGCGCCGACGGAGAAGCTCTGGGCCCTCCGCCTGCGGTAGTACACTGACGCGCGCGCCCTCCGCCTCCCGCGCGTGTGGCATAGCGCAGAACACGCGCCAAAGGAAGAAACCAAAGCTCGGGGCCAATAGAATACATCTGGCCGTCAGCAGCCCAAGGAGAAACCCCGGGCATACCAAATGCCGCACGCCCACGCGCCGACCGACGATTTGCAGAAGGACGGCCCGCATGCGCCTGCGCGGGCGCCCAGAGAACCCACAGAAGCCATCCACGGCGCGCCCCCCGGTGGGGGCCTCAACAGTCCCGCAGGCGACTGGAGGCCCCGCAGTCTGTCGGCAAGGCCTGACTTTCGGCAATCTTGCTGCTGCAGTATGCGACTCCGGGCGTCGAGTCGTGCTTGACTTTCAATCTGCCGGCAGCACACCAGCCACAGGCGATTCACGAGTTGCGCTGGAACCACGCTAACTCGGCGCAGCTCCTTATACGCGGAGCCTTGTACGCGGCGCACCCACTGCGCCGGGATGCGTGCAGCATGGGGCTCGTCATCTGGCGGACCAACTTGCCTGCCTCCTTCTGAGCTCCTTCAGCTTGCGCGCATTCGTTGCAGACTTCTCACAAAGAATAAATGCTGACGATTTATATACTCTGGACGAGAACAAGGAGTATTCATTGCCAAACACCAGGACGAGAACAAGGCTCAAGGTCTCTCACAAAATCTGAATCAACCAACGCACCTTTGGGTGCGGTCGCTCTCACAAAAGAAAACTCCGATCTCTCATGATGATCATCATCATCATCATTTTACTCTCCCTCACAAGTTAAAACCCAAATTCCACTGGGCGCCCGCGGTGGCGTGGCTCTGGACCAAAATGCAGCATCTCTGCTGAGTGCGGAACCAACGAACAACGCGCATGAGTATAGTAGGACTGGGTTTGGCTTCTACATGAGTTCCTTACTAGCGTGAGCAGGATTGCCAAGGCTTTTCTATTACTCTTTCGCGAACGAGTGTTTGCCAAGCTCTGTAGCGTCGTACTCCCATACAGAAGTCCAAATCTAAGCAGCAAAGCCAACTGTTGTGCTTGGTATCATTTATTTTTGAAATTTCTATTTTTTCGTATGTCTACCTTGTCATGATGCCCACACGATTGGAGCAGCATCCCGCTCAGCATCTCCGGTTGGTTATTGTAGGACGAAACCAGAGTAATTTCTCGTCACCGTGCAGCCGCGCGACCGTCCCTCAGATTGATTCTCAGCTGAACAAATAACGCCATTTGTATGCTTTCGAAGCACAAAAAAACACGCGTCTAGGGTGAGGGGCTACTCTCCCAACCCGGCGGGCGCGGGCGGCAATGAAATTACAAGCAAGCGGCAACAGGGCCAGCCAACCGTAGGGCGGCCAAGCAAACTCGATCGCCGGCTGCGCCATGTCGGGCGCGCCGCTTTCTCGCGCGCAGGGGCGTGCCCGCCTGCGGGCGCCGATAAAGAAGCGCCGGGCCCTCCACCGGCAGTACACTAACGCGCGCGCCTTCCCGTGCGGGCGGCGGGCATAACGCAGGACACGCCCGCGCCAGAGAAAGAAGCCAAGCCACACCCGGGGCCACGGCACAAAATACATCTGGCCGCCAGCGGCCTAAGGAAGGAGACGCCCGGGGCATACCAAATGGCGCGCGCCCGCGCGCCGATGAATGTATGACTTACAGGCGGACGGCCCGCATGCGCCTGCGCGGGCGCCCAGTTGTCCTCTCCTGGCTATCCTGCCTCGTTCTCCTCGTGCTTGTTGTCCTTGGCGAGGGTGAGGAGGGAAGCGCTTCGCGTCTCGCTGCTAACCGAACTAACAACATTTCCCGCTGGCTGCGTTCGAGGTTGGCGATGTGTGACATTGCCTGGAGCATGAGAGAGACGCAAGAGATCCAAAGACGGCATTGACACGACAGTGAGAATACTTCTATGCACAAAATTAATACGGAAAGATCGCTAGTGCGCCATTACTTCGCATTCCAGCCTGTGCTTTCACTCCCTTGCTGAGAAATTCCATTTCATGAGCCTGAAGAGGACACTTGTCAAACTCTCTCTCTCCTCAAGTTCTCCGCTGAGCAGTTTGTTCTCGAACCACACACAAGCAACGTTCAGGGAGAGGAGCTACCATCCCTACCCGGTGGCCGCGGCCGGGCAAGAACAGTGAGGAAAATTATAGATACGCACGTCGGCAACCCATAACGATTCGGCCTAGCTAGCCGTGGAGTGGGCAAGGGCGATCGCTGGCTGCGCCATGTCGGGCGCGCCGCTTCCTCGCGCACAGGGACCTGCCCGTCTGCGACCGACGAGAACAAGCACCGGGCCCCCCGCTGGGCAATACACTCAACCGCGCCGGCGGCATGGCCCAAAGCGCACACCAAAAAACAGGTAGGATTGCTACTCGGGGCCAATATCTGGTATACATCAGCCCGCGGCCCACAGGGGGCCCACCAAGCGCAAGGGCGCGCATTTGCGTAAGAGGACTGCCCACAAGAAGCATTGGCCGAGCGAAGGCCGGGCCGCGCAACCAACCGGGGGCCCGCCGGCCGGCCTCGATATCCGGCGCGGCCTCAAATCTTGCCAGGGAGCTGCGCGGGCTTCTGCGTTTCGACAAACGTGGCCTGGTCGCCAATCATCTGCCGAAGCAGGGTCCACGTCGCCGGCATGTTCCGGCACTCATGGGCCTGATCTACGTCCCGGAGGGTGGTTGGTGCTCATGGCTCGGGATGTCTATCGCCCCCGCTAACGGCGGCGCGCCTTTGCTCGCTGATATCTTTCCCGCCCTTCCTCTCCGCACACCGCGCTGATTCATTTAGCAGCCTCGCACCCCTCCGCGACGCTAGCGTGCGTGAGGAATGTCAAATTTCTGCCCAAGCCCAGGGCGCCAACCTGCCAAAGCCAAGGCGCGCCCCTTGGCGGGGGCCTCCGCAGGGCCGCGGCGCGGCCAGGAAGTCTCCCCCTTTGCCAATTCGCCACATGGCGGCACTGGCTCCGTCGGCACTGCGCTATCCTGCTCCGGCGCACAGCGGACTCTGCCGCGTCCTCGGCTGCCGAGACATCTTCGCCCTCGTCTTCCTCCGTAGACCCGTCAGGCGTGCTAGGTGATGGCGACGAAGCCGGCGGCATTTTGTACTTACTACAGAGTATTTGATCTTGATGCGCCCTGTAGTCTATGTCCTCTAGAACAACTCAAATTCAAATAAAACACCTAATACAATGCTCCTGTGTATGTGTAGTTGCGGGAGAAAGGGCGTCACTTTCATCGGTACGCCTACACGCTTTAAGCCGCGGGCAAAACGCGTCAGCCTGTGCTTTCCCTCCCTTGCTGAGAAGTTCCATTTTATGAGCGTGAGGACACTCATCAAACTCTTGCTCTCCTCAGGTTCTCACCTGAGCAATTTGTTCTCGAACCACACACACGCGCCGTCTAGGAAGAGGAGCTACCATCCCTGCCCGGCGGCGGCGGCCGGGCAAGAGCAATGTCATTTCACTCAGAGTGAAATTATACGCACGTCGGCAAACCATAACCAATAGGGCTAGCCAACAGCGGAGTGGACAAACGCGATCGCCGGCTGCGCCATGGTGGATCTGGGTCGCCATTTCCCAGCACCCCTGCTGAATGCGGCGCCGGAAGTGGTCCCGAGAAACGTTCCAAAGCCCAGTTGGCGCCCACCCAATGGTGGATCTTGGCCACGATTTAGCACCACGGCTGACTGCGCCGCTAGAAGTGGCGCCGTAAATGCAACGAACCCAAAATCCACTTGGCGCTCTTGCTGTGGTGGATCGGGGCCACGATTTCGCAGCGCCACTGCTGAACGCGGCGCCGGAAGTGGTCGCGAAAAAGCAAGCCACATTCCACTTGGCGCCCACCCGATGGTGGATCTTGGCCTCGATTTAGCACCACTGCTGACTGCGGCGCCAGAAGTGGGCCCGAAAATGCAAGCCAAATTCCACTTGGCGTCCACCCAATGGTGGCTCTTGGCCGCGATTGAGCGCCACTGCCGACTGCGGCGCCGGAAGTGGACCCGAAAACGCAACCCAAAATCCACTTGGCGCCCATGCTATGGTGGGTCTTGGCCTCCACGATTTAGCACCACTGCTGAACGCGGCGCCGGAAGTGGTCGCGAAAAAGCAAGCCAAATTCCACTTGGCGCCTACCCAATGGTGGATCTTGGCCGCGATTTAGCGCCACTGCTGACTGCGGCGCCAGAAGTGGGCCCGAAAATGCAAGCCAAATTCCACTTGGCGC